TTCAAATACTGTAATTTATTCTCCTGTAAAACCTGAACATTGTCTTTTAATCTGCCATCGATTTACCAAACCATTGACAATGACAAATAGCAACTATAGCCACTTGTTTGCTTTGTATTAGTTATTTATCCAGCAGTGTTCCGTGTATTGTCTCTACTGCATGTGGATTTTAACGGACACACCGACTTTCTGAATGGTGTTTATTTTTCTCTGAGGTATTGGCTTGGGCTTTGCTCTACGACACATTAATATGTCAGCCAAGGATGTAAGCTATTTAACCTTTCCTGGAGAGCTCCTGATGAGAATCCTGCAGATGTTGGTGCTTCCTCTCATCATTTCCAGTGTGATTGCAGGTTAGAGCCACACTTCAGCTTGGTTGAACTGGATTTCAGGCATGATTTTCAATCAACCGGTAACATATGCTAATATCTTCCTGATAATATTAGATTAGATAAACAAAATGTACACTAGTGGCTGGTGCAACTGTTACCAAGCCTTAAAACAAATATAAGTGGAGCTCAGGGCATGTGTTGAGCAGAGGCTCACAAACTCACAAAGTCTGAGTGCTCCTACCTACAATTCTGTCGATAGTTTCCCCAGAAAAGATATCTATTGCACTTTAAATGATCCTGTACATCAGCTGATTATTTTGACGTAGCCAGCCCTGAAACATCTGAACTTGACTTAATGTAATAGACAGGGTTCAAATCCATATGTTTTTTATTTCAGGAATGTCATCTGTGGACAGGACGGCTCATGGAAAAATTGGGCTAAGGGCCTTCAGCTATTACATGGTCACCACACTTATTGCTGCATTCACTGGCATCGCCTTAGCTGTTCTCATGCAACCAGGGAAATCATCCAGGACTGCCTCAGTGTCCTCTAGTGGTAATGCAGAGGCTGTGCAGATTGTGGATTCCTTTCTAGATCTAATCAGGTGTGTATTAAAATATTCCTTGCGAACATATAATGTTTCTATTGGAAGTTAAAACACCTAATCAGTGTTTTTGTTTTATATAGAAACATGAATCCCTCAAATTTGGTGGAAGCTTGTTTCAGAAAGGTAAGATCTACAAGGGCTATTTGTTCTAGATTCATATAGTCACTGTTTCATACTTACCAATGGTTAACATGCTTATACTTTTGTATCTAGTACAAAACCGTTTATTCCAGGAGTGTGACGGCAACCAGTGAAAAGAGTGAGATTCCTTTTTTTTGTTCTATTCATATTTTTGGTGCCAAATGTTTGTCTAAACCAGTGTCCCTTATGTTTAGTATGTCAAATGTCTGATCTTCATTACTGTTGTTACATTGTCACAACACAACATAGTCCTAACGACATTCCTTGGGGCCCCTATATATGACACAGTGCCAGGGCCGGGAACCTTAGACGGAGTCAATATTTTGGGTCTACTGGTTTTCTCTGTTGCCTTTGGCCTCATCTTGGGCAAAATGGAGAATGAGGCAAAGCCTCTGAGGGATTTCTTTGACAGCCTGAATAAAGCCATTGTGCATCTGGTCAACATAGTCATCTGGTAAGCACAGGAAGCTATCATAAAGCTACACCGGCTGTGTGTAGTCTTGTTAATGCACATTTTACCTTGCATTAGCTATCAATTTCTGTTCTTGTGGGCCCTGTTATGCTAACTAGGAAATATTGTGAGAAGACACCCAAACATGGATATACTCACTGACTACAACATTGAGCCTCACTCATTGCCTCTCTCTGCTGTGTCTCACCTCTGTATCACAGGTATTCCCCCGTGGGAATCCTCTTCCTACTGGCAGGACAGATTGTGAAGATGACAGACACTGGAGAGATAGGTCGCGAAGTTGCCATGTATGCTCTCACTGTAACCGCTGGCCTCCTAATCCACAGCCTCCTCACCCTTCCCCTCATCTATTTCATGGTCACACGAAAGAATCCCTTCAGATTTATGCTCAGTCTACTCCAGGCTCTCACCACTGCCTTTGGGACCTCATCAAGGTGAGCCAGAGTCTTGATATTAAACATGGCAGACACATGAACAACAGTGGACTAGCAGCTCACTTTTTCTCACGTTTTTTTTTTTTTACAGTTCTGCAACCCTACCCGTTACCCTCTACTGTATGGAGGAAAATCACAACATGGACAAACAAGTGACACGCTTCATGCTCCCTATTGGGGCCACAATGAACATGGATGGTGCAGCACTCTATGAAGCTGTAGCTGCTTTATTCATTGCCCAGATTAATAATATGGAGTTTAACCTGGGTCAAATCATTGCCCTCAGGTAAACTCAAGACACATTGAGCTCAGATTGGTCAAATGTTTTTGTTTTGTTCAGTTCATCATTGAATTAATTCCCATGAGTGACTGAAGACTTAGCAGATAGAGAAGGAAAAGTACAGTCCTTGCATCAGATTAGTTCCCATAGAGTTGAGTTGGTGTATTTTCAATGCTTGAAACAAATAACGCAAGGATTCAATTTCATAACCATCACTGTTTCTCCTCTTCAGTTTTGTTGTCACAGCTGCAAGCACCGGTGCAGCGGGCATCCCGCAGGCCGGCATGGTATCCATGTTAATTGTGTTGGAGTCAGCTGGACTGCCCACTGAAGATATATCACTGCTCATGATGGTTGATTGGATTCTGTAAGTGCACATGGAACCAATATCAGTTTCAGATCTTCACATTGAGAATGTTTTTGGAAAGTGTGGACATTTTGATCATTTGATATTGATTATTTAAATGGCTTTGAGGTTTTGGTTGAGTTTTAAAGTGTAACTTCACCCCCAGATCTGAGCCTACTACTGCACCCACTGCAAATTTTGGAAAAATGCAAAAAATAGTGGGCAAGGGGGCTGAGAACGGGTTGGGTGTTGTTTTTTTAATATATATCTATATATGATTTCATGACCTAGATAAGTCCCAACCCGTTGACTCAGCATTGGCCTGCAAGGTTCAGTGCTCATTTAAAACAGTGTTGGGCCATTTTCAACCCATGAAAATTTGGCAAGCCTGTGTTGGAGACTGACTATAAATGAACCTTGAATAATGTTATTGATTTCACCTGTAACACGGTTAACTTTAACCTTAAAAGTATCCTGTAACTTTACATTTTGTTTCAACCCCAAACTTAGGTGTAGTTGTGGTGAAGTCACCCTGATACGTTCCTGATGTAACCTCAGATCTTCTTCTTTGTTGATAGGGATCGTCTGCGGACTACCACCAATGTCCTGGGGGACTGTGTCGGTGTGAGTGTAGTGCAGCATCTGTCCACACATGAGCTGCAGCGCTCCAGCCCTGCAGATAAAAGCTTGGTGGAGGAAAGCTCCCAGTTCTGAGCCTCATGAGGCTTGACAGGATCTGTGTTGGCTAAGATTAACGTGATATGCTTTTGTTGAATGATGACAAAATACTTGTTCTTTGTCTTGGTTAAACTGACGAGGTTCATGTTACTACCCAGTATACAGTAGAAGTTGATAATCATGTAGCGCCTGCTGGTATCAGAAGGAGTGACTCGTTTTGGAGACATAAGCAGACATAACCCTCATACTGGAGTCCCTGCATTCTATAAATGTCTGTTTATTTTTAGTCTGTTTTCACCCCAATAATACTACAATTTTATGATTAAACCTTTGGCTGCCATTAGTATATAAGATATGTTTTGCTTTCTATAGGAACAGAACAGTGTACTTTGTGGCAAATGAGATTTGTCTCATGTGTAAGGGTAAATGTGTTTTTGTTTGTTTTTTAGTTATAGAGTGACATTTTTAATATCCTATACTCTTTATATTGTATTCTTAAACTCCATCTTATTAGTACTATTGTAGAGGTCAGTCCAACCCATGTATCTTAAATGTGATGATAAGACCTTTCCTTGCAGCACTGCAGATGTCTTTCATAGAGAACACTCTACCACCATCTGGTGGCAGGTCATCAAACTCAGAAAAATATCTCGATGACCCACTTACACAGGGGCGATGCATGTAAATACATCGAACTGCTAAATACTTATTATGGTGGTCCACTTTATGAAAGTAAACACAATACAGTGTTGACCTGGAACTGAACGTGATTTTGTTTTGTTTCCTCTGTAAAAAGCTGCAGGAATGTACAGTTAAGAAAAATTAAACAACATTTCAAGGTCATATCACCTTATTGACTATAGAAAACTATAGAAAAGGACTCGCACATCTTTAGATTGCCACATATTTAATGGGATAAGCCACAATTGAAAGCAAGGCACGCCTTTTAGTTGAAATAAGATCGAAAAACTGACAACCTAACAATGTATTTAGTGAAATGAGTCATTAAAACAATGCTGGTATGTTATTAAACACCTGAAGCTATCTACTCTATATTTTCAGCATCTCTCAACATCCCTCAATGCATTTGTTTGCCACGGGTCCAGATCTGTGGGGAAACAAATGCTTTTAGTCACAAGTCTGGGCATGTTGCAGTATTTCACTGTGCAAAGTAGCGTTATTAATAGAAAACTGTAAACACAGCCCGAAGGGTTTTTCTGCCAAGCAGCCAATGGCAAGAGAAGAACAGGAAGCTGTGGCTGCCCCCACTGGGCGATAAGTGCAATGCCAAAGCGAAGCCACTCTGTGTCATGACATCGCCCAGAGCTCAGTGCATCTGTGAGGAGAGAGAGGGAGGGAGGGGTGTAGGCATCACAGCTAGGGAGCAAGAGAAAGGGAGGGGAATTCATATGGAGGCGGGGTTTCGTCAAGAGCGAGAGAGCTTAATAGAGATTGTGAGAAAAAGTGAGAGAGCGAGAGAGAGAGAGAGATTGTGTGTGTGTGAGGGAGGAAGATGCTGTTGCCAGGGAACAGCGTGGAAGTAGGAACTTCCATTCTTGCCAGCGCGCAGGAGGATAGAAACACGTTACATCATGGACTCAAAATTGTCTGAATGTGAGGCGAAAGAAAACAGCTGATCCTGACTCCCGGCAGCCAAAGAGAATCAAAGAGAAGGTACGCAGGTGTGATTACATAACCATCACAACACATACGGGTGACATCATCACATCAGGATTAGAGCTGGGGGGCGGGAGCATTAGTGTGGGTAGAGGGAGGAGGAGGGTAGAGGGGGATTCAGCAGAGATGAGCAGAAGTAGATGGAAGAGAGATCAAGAGTGATCATCATGACACGAGCTGAAGGCGCAGGACGAGGATTATCTGTATTCCAAAATATAGCTTGGGATATGATTTGCAGACGAGACTGAAACGATGACAGCAGGATGGTGTTTGATGTGTGATGACCCTGACTCTCCTACAACCGTCCTCTCTGCAGGAGGAAACAGTTTCTCTCTCAGCCTCCATTAGAAGCATCAGTGAACAGCAAGACTCCTCCAGCAGCCCAGACCCTGGGCACTCTAGTGTCCCACCTGCAGATGTAAACAATGATGACCCTCACTCTGCTCAGGCAGATTTAAGGAGGAGTAGAAAATAAAGAGGGACATCTGAAGGCAACACAGGGAAGCTTTCAAAACGGCAAAGAGGAAGTCCTCCTAATTACAGTATGTGAGTACCTTTACAGAAGCTATATGCTTTTTCTGGTTTTGGATGAATTACTGTAAATGCTTTCCAGGGGACAGATTCTTGATCAGTGACCTTTTCAGTGCTTTGTTTCATTCTGCGACTGTTTGTGATTCAAATGACTGTTTCCATTTGTCAGATAAGGAAAAGGAGGCAGTCGTGACAGAATAGCTTTTCTCCTTTCACACACGTTTTAAGGCCCTGAAAATGTCCATCCTGCATCATCTTTTCATATAAGTAATCAACCTAAACACAAATATTTTTTGCCAAATTTAGAACTAATTTTATTATTTCACATTGTTCTTTCTCTGTGCTCTTCTCACTGGCTTGAAGTGGACAGGGCTCATTTGGAAAAAAGTAGTTTACTTACTTTTGTGTAATCCAGTCAGGATTTAATCTGATCAAACCACAGCAATGACATCCTGTTGAAGAGGATTCGTCTATTAAATTATGCCTACATTTGTTTTTAACTTTGATTGCTGCTTATTTGGTCATAAATATTCAATATTATTGATGTTTATCTCTAAGCTGCAAGCTACGTAAAAAAATTCATAATACAGAGGAGGAACGAATACTGTGGGGTTCTATTGAAGTGGAAGCTCTACTGCTCTGTTTACATATTGCTTACTGTATGTCAAAGAAAGAGACATATTTATTAAACAAAATGCTCAAGCATATGATTTTCTGTTATTACGGGTGTGGTTCAATAGGCACAACACATTGAATAGCTCACAAGATAGTATTAAATGAAGGCTGCTCTGCCATCTGGACTCAAATCCCTACCAACCGCGTGCTACTGCAACATTACTTTGTGTCCATCAATCAGCAGTTCACTGTATGAGCAGCTGAAGGCTTGACAAGAGACATCTGCACAGAGAACAAACCACACGCACTGGTCCGTGTGAATTTTCCACTTCATCCTCAGCTTCCCCTCTGTCATTCTCAATTTAGCAGGGAAAATGATCGACCTGTTTTCCAAAGCCTTTTTTGAAAAGATTAGATCATAACAACAGAGGAAGGTGAATCAAAGTGTGTCAAACGGATCTTTATTAGTGTTAAGTGGCGTTTAGGATTTCCCCTTCAACCATATATCAAACACGGCAACTTCCTCATGGGATAGTACAGTGTAAAACCTCAAGCATCATTTAGATCCAATCAGAACACAGCAGCTCCAGCAGCATGGAGCCTTAGGGGCCTGTGCCTTTTAGACCTCAGTTGTTTTCAGTATATAGACTCGAATGTGTCTCACTGTAGCACACCAGTGCCATCCCAGTGGACAAATGGACTGTGGTAAAGTCTGCTGCAGCCTGAACTCTGGCTGGGACAGCGATGATGGACACTCCTCCCCCATATGCGCAGTTCTGACACGAGACTCATACATGATGTTCACTCTGTGCACGACTGATCCTATGACAGCCTGCAGCAACCGACACAAGAAAATAAGGATGGAGACTTTGTTTCATTTCTGATTTGGTTATGTAAAATATGGAAGTTCAGATGACTATCTGCTCTATGGTGGCACATGTGATTTGCTCGTATCACCCCGAGGGGCTGTATGAGCAATGTTGGGTTTTATTTTTGTCTCCTTCCCCAGGGATGTGGGGAAAGGAAACCCACTGTGACTTAGTTTTGCCAAAGCTGTATTTATACTAACATTAATATCACTATACAATCATTACCCATGTCAAACTAGCACAGTTTTAAGAAACTGACTTTTCTGTCATATGATACATTTACTATGTATCATGTTTGTAAGAAAAGGATAAATGTTGTGGGTTTGATTCTTCATTACACCCATGTTATGTTTTCTAGCTGCTCTCCAGAGCACTTAATTACAGCTCCTAAAAGCTGTATATTGTGGATAAGTCAGCTTTTACTGACTTAAGGGGCACTCCAGCAATTTAGTATACCACACCCATAAGGGTGTTTGACTTTTGAGAGAGAGATGTAAAAAGCAGTGCTCTAAATTGAAGCAAAAGGATTAGCTAAGATATCCTAATTTTTCGTTCCTAGTATGCTTCAAACTCCAAAAAGAGGGAATACTACATTTCCCATAATGCAACTGAACAATGTCTTTCATCAACTTAAACCCTCCCTTTCTGATGAACACACACATCTTTCAAACTCCACACCTTCACGTTTGTCACGCTGGCTGTCTGTTGCAATTATGTGTCTCAAGCTAAAGTTCAGATAATCCTGATGAAATCGTCAGGGTTTCATAAATTGGGTGGAGTGGCCCTTTTAAAACGGCTACAATTACTGTATGTCTTAACAGATTTTAACGCCTACTGATTTTCATTGTTTCATTTGTTTGTCAACCACAGCTAGCTGAAGCCTGTCCTCCCTGGCAGAGGATGGGTACAGCAGAAGCCACCTTACGCATGGACAGCATGGAGGTTAAAGATGAGTGGCAGGATGAAGACTTCCCCAGGTAGTCCTCTGTGTGTGTGTGTGTGTGTGTGTGTGTGTGTGTGTGTGTGTGTGTGTGTGTGTGTGTGTGTGTGTGTGTGACCAGTTTGTCTGATTTGTGCGAAGGCTTTGACAAACAGAGCCAGCTCAGATGGAATTGTTGAATGCTGAAGGGCAGCAGGTGTGTTCTTTCCTTGATGCAGTCGTTACGTGATTATGTTGTTTCATGTCAGTGAACAAAATAGCAGCTAGCACAGAGAAAAAAACCACGACAAGTCAAACACGTCACAGTGTCCAGCAATGGAAAAATAGTCGGCCAGCCACTTGCCATTCAGTGTATTCACAACATTTAAATACAGCTGCAAGTCGTTGTGGTATTTACAAGGTATAATAATATCACAATGGTATTCTGGTAGCTCTGTTGGTTAAAGCTTACACAATACAAATAATGTAATTAGATAAAGGAGGAGGAGTAATGGGTATGTACAGTACAATGAATATAGTGGCAGCTAGTTTAAACGTGAGATCTACAGAGGAGAAACCTTTAAGAATTCTTTAAAAACTGTTTTTCTCTTCCCTACTGTTTAATTCACTTGTGAATATCTGGAGCTGTCTTTAACTTACATCTACAAAACTACTTACAACATAATAACAGCAATTATCCAAACGGCTCAATCAGCTCGCCCATGCTTGTGGTGTTTTAGGGCGTGTTTGTCTGTGCATGCATGTCTGTGTTAATGTCTGTCTTTTTCCGTCTGTGTGTGTGTGTGTGTGTGTGTGTGTGTGTGTGTGTGTGTGTGTGCGTGTGTGTGTGTGTGTGTGCCCCCAGCATTGAGGGTTCAGCTGTCTTATTATAATGTCAGAGGGGAGTTGGTAATTACCGGTGTTGCTTTCTCAAACAACACATATTTTTTCCCAGGACACCCAGCTGTTAAATAACAAAAGCGCCACTCCAACAACAAAATACTAAGCGTGAAAATGCTACAAACGACATGCTCATACTTTATTGTATTTCATTTTTTATTGATCATAGCAATTTAATGTTAATGCTTATAACTATAAATTACATAAAGAAGAACCAAAACATCCATTAAAGGTGCAATTTACGGGATTCAGAGCATTAATATAGCAGTAAACTGTTCGCTATGTAAAGATATAGTGGAGTTACGTCGAGGTGGAAGCATAGCAATCACCCTCCGATTCCCACTCAGGTAAACACTGTCAGCTCCGTCATCACTTTTGTAGTTTGCACCGTGAGCACTGCTAGCAGCGTTAGCTGCGAGCCACCAGCTTAGCCGTTGCCATGTTGAGAGCTGTTGAGAGACAATCAAAATGCTCCCAATCTCATAGAGCACCTTTAACTTGGTAACAGAAAAACAAAAGGCCAAAGAGAAAGAATAATTCTGATATACGTCATTCTATTTTCTATTTGTTCTGTTTTATGGTCTACTGTTTTATTGATACTATTTTTAATGCATATTCATGTCTTTCTCTGCAGGCCACTACCAGAGGATGGAGATGTTGATTCTTCATGTGGCCTCACTGACAACAGAACCAGTAAGTGGAATAAATACATCGCATTACCAATGTACTTTTAAGATATACTGTATCTAAACTTTCCTGCCATGCCTGTCCAGATCCTCCCACCACTCTGAATGTGGGCGAGTCCATAGCCCAGCGTAAGCGGCGCACTCTGGTCGCCCCCGACATGAACCTCTCCCTGGATCAGAGCGAGGGGTCGGTGCTCTCTGATGAGTGTCTGGAGACGCCTGACGACCTGGACATCAATGTAGATGACATGGAGACTCCCGATGAAACCGACTCTCTGGAGTTTATCAACAATGGCAACGAGCTGGAGTGGGAAGGTAAGAGAGAGGTCAAATGATATTCCATTCAGATGATCAATATTGTGGAAGACACAAATGTTTTTAAGGTCTAGGGTTGCATGTTGGAATTTATTAAAGGGGCAAATCATACTACCTGCTGTGTCCTTGGTTTGAATCGTCATACGTTATTGCAATCTGTCTGTCAAGGCAAAACATGTCTGTCAAATACAGCAAAATGAAAACAAACACCGAAGGCTGTAATCAAAGTCACTGCTGTTTTTCTTAATTGCCTACATTCTGTTGAACTTTAATAGCAGACTGTTAGAGCAAGTTGATCCTTATCTGCCTCTGACGTTTGTGTGATTTGGTGTTAAGGAAGACAGGTGGGAAATGACAGTTAAACAATGTGACCGACAACCATTTTATGTTACCTTGTGTCTAGATGACACTCCTGTGGCCAACGCCAAGCGTCTTCCAGGTGAAAGTGAAGAGGAGAGAGACTCATCTGGTCGTCTGTGGCGAACAGTGATCATCGGTGACCAGGAGCAGAGGATTGACATGCAGGTCATCAGACCATACCTGAGGGTTGTCACACATGGAGGTTAGCAAATGAGTGTGTGTGCTTTTATTCAAATAGTGTCTGTGTGTGTGGGCTCAAGTGTATGTTAGGATTCATCCAAAATGGATTTTGGAAGACCAGTACTGACAGAACGGGTTTTGATCAAAGGTGGAGAAAGTTGGAGAAAGAAACATTGCACTCAACCAAAGACCATCCAAATGTACTGTAGCTGGGTTTCATGTCACTATAGTGAAAGTCCATCAAAAAGAGTATGTGTGTGGATAGGAGTTGTACAGGAACAAACTCTCAGTTGGCCGTTTATTCGGTTCATTGTTAAACCTGACACAGCCCTGCAGTAATTCTTGCCCTCACAAAGGTTATGATGTAATTCTACTGTATGACTATTGTAGAACAGGGGCCAGCAACCTTCGGCTTCACTAATGGCACACTAGTAATCAGGGTGCAAGAGAGTTTTTTGAAAATATTGAAGTGCCATCTCATCCACATGGGAAATGACCTCTTTCACACCCATTAGCAGTTGTGTGGCCTGTTACGTACGGTTATTCTACTCTGCCTTGATTGGCTTGTACTCGTCGCACTCTTTGCATCATGTGTTAAGTACGTTGCTGATGAACAAGATTGGTGGAAGGTTGGTAGGGTTAATGATGTCCACTGAGATGTGGATGTTTTTAGGAAGGCCTACAACTGAAACCCTACTGCATTTAATTCCCCTGGAATATACATAAAAAGTAAAAAAGAATGAGTAAAGCAGCATTCGTATAGATTTTGCGAATTACGTACACATTTTTGGTTAATATTTAAAATTATAATTAGCTTTGTACCAGTTCCTACAAGTTTTCTCCAGAACTGTAACAATCTTGTCAGGGTGGAAAACCTTAAAAAACATTCACACCATCAACATTAGAACTCGTGAAGGAATAAAAGAAAAGAAGACATATTTTCATGCACAAGGGAAACTCATGTACTTCAAACTGAAAATGTGTTTAATGACGTTCATCAGACCGGTTCACAACAAGCATGCAAAATACACACAGGTTAGGTCAGGTTACTTTCAAAGTAAAAAAATTATACTCATAAATATGCAAATCATAAAAGGCAGATCATTTTCAGTTTTCCTAGTTTTATAGAGCTCCATAATAATGCTGCCATCATACTGAATGTGTGTCTCCTCTCTCCTCCAGGTTATTATGGCGAGGGTCTGAATGCCATCATCGTGTTTGCAGCCTGCTATCTTCCTGACAGTGGCTGTGAGGACTACACCTACATCATGGAGAATCTCTTCCTGTAAGATCCATTCTGGTCTCCTAAGGGAGTCTTTTACTGTAGCATTCAATGTGCACTGTGTACTTGACCAAAGAAAATCACTAGAGAAATGATTTCCATGAAATGTGCGGATTTCTTTTCATCTTATATGTTACTGTACAATATGAGTCAGATCTGAGCTTGCTTGCTCTGTCCTCAGGTACGTCGTGAGCAGCCTGGAGCTGCTGGTGGCAGAAGATTACATGATTGTTTACCTGAACGGAGCGACTCCTCGCAGGAAGATGCCCGGCATCAGCTGGCTGAAGAGATGCTACCAGATGATCGACAGGAAGTAAGTTTGGGCAACTCTGATGGAAATAAGAATAAAGTCAAGAATGTAAAACTAATGGTGTCGATGCTAAAGATAAATGAGGATACAATCTGGCTCACAAACACTTGAATTTACTCCTGCAGACTGAGGAAGAATCTTAAGTGTCTCATCATTGCTCACCCAACGTGGTTTATCCGGACCGTCCTGGCGATATCAAGACCTTTCATCAGGTGAGAATACATTCAGTGTGGTTTGTAGTCCATCCGTCTCTCCGTTGTGTTACATATTGGCTCTTCTCATATCAAATCTAAGAAACAGACAGAAGATAGATTACAGAACTGTGACATAATGATTCAGACCATCTCAGAACATAATATACGAATGAGAGCTGTGCTACAAGGCCTTGGCTTGATGACAGATAAATGATACAAGTGTTCAGAATGGGTCATTCGTGACATCGATTGCATGTTGTTGATGCTTTCTGCAGCGTGAAGTTCATGGATAAGATCCGTTATGTTCACACTCTGGAGGAGCTCAGCCAGATCATCCCCATGGAGCATGTGCAGATCCCTGAGTGTGTGTCGCAGTAAGTACTCTGAGCCACCAAGGGTCACTGTTGAGACACTAATCACGTGTTGTGTGTGTTGCACGCTTACAGCAACAACACTTTTAGAGAATGCTCACAGCACAGCGATCAAACTAAACCTGATCCAAGCTGTGTTTCATTCATTCATATTTAGTCGGTGTAACTGTTAGCATTTGTTTGAATCTGTTAAACTTAAACCAAGTAAACATATGATTTGCAATAGTTTACGTCAATGGACTTTTAGCTTCTCTGTTCCACTGGTGAGAGGTATGTTGATGTAATGTATACATCAGACTGAGATTTATATTCTTATTTTTAAAGGTATGATGATGAGAAGCTACAAGCACAAAGGGAAAGGTGAGCAGTAGATTTCCATGTGATTTTATCTTATAAAGCCGTTTTGATGCTTACTCTGTATCCTGCATCTCAGTAGTAGTATTAATATTTGCCGGTCTTATTTACAGACTTCAGCAAGAGAAGCAGCAGAGCAACTTAACACTGTCTAAAGAAAGGTGACCTTGTTTTACAGCACATACAGTCTAGCGCCATTTTGGGATTTTTTTTTGTTTCTACTTCAGCACTACAACATAGAAAATGTTCAGACATTTTGTTATTTTAAGTAAAACTGGTGGCTGCTAGAAGTCGGAAACCATTTCACTCTTAATTATACACAATGCAACTTTATTTCGTTTAGTCAGTTTAGACACTAAAATATGTATCAAGAAAATGTGATGTAAAGGGCTGAATAGAAAATCCATGTGTGTTTCTTCTCTTTAAATCAGGTGTGAGCAACTGCACCACATGGATATATTTTGGCAACAGAAAGCACAAACTAATATGGGCTTGATGCAAAATATTTATATTTACTTATGGCTTGACTTTAATCTGTCATTTTCAGGCCAAAGTCAATGATAGCAGAGGTTGGCCCTGACATCTGACATTAAGGTAAGGGTTCCCTTTACAACCAACTTCACCAGGCTGGTTTGTAATGTCAGCCCACTGTAATTAATCTCTGACATGCAGGGAAATGTTCTCGTCTGCACACGCACACGCACACAGACACACACACACACACACACACCTATGTGCGTAAAAGAGATATGATACAGTAAATCAGCTAAATACTGGAAGGTGGCCTGTCTGAAGCGCTGGGTCACTGACCAAAGGTCCAAAGGGTCATCTCTCATTTCAGGGGCACCGAAGTCCAATTTACAGTATCGTATCCAGTCAACTGAGACCACAATCCGAAAGAATGACTCAGATCTGTTACTCAAATCTCTCAAAAGATGTAACGCTCATTTACTTTTTCAGTCACAAATGGATCTGCAAGGATTAGTCAATCAGAATTAAATTAAGTAGGTCAGTGATCGAACAGATATGCCAAACATTTCTCAAAAGTGAAAAATTGCTGCTTTTCTTTGTTTTATATTAAAGGGAATTAAAGGTTTGTGGGGTTGGACTGTTGGTCGTTTTATTGCTCCGACAATTAATCTGTTATTCCAGGAAATAATTAGCAGATTATATGATAATCAGAATCAGAAGGTATGTTGCATATGCAAGGAATTTGACACGGCGGGTGGTGCATAACATTAAACAATCAACACAGTGCAAAAAGTAGAAACATATTAAAATGTACAATAAAATATAAAATAATATATTTTCAATAAATGAAAATAATCATAGTCATAAAACAATCACATCTATTGTTTTACAACATAAGTCTAATTTAAAGTACTTCTCATTCATGGATAGTTAGTGCCAGGAGAAAACTACTCTAATTACAATCACTTTCATGTCTTGAATTTGAAGTTAGCAAATTGCCTAAAAAAACAAGCCCTTCATCATAAATAGAAGTAACAAGCATGTGTTGACACTTCTCTCTCCGTCCTTCTCTGAGAGCACTGGACCAAAGGCTGAACCACCAACAATAGTGCTTTGGGATTTCTGTCGATCATCAAGTCAAGCTCATTTATTTTGCAAAGTCATGTTTCAGGTGTTCAAATTCAGACTATGTTTGCGTCCAAGAAATGTCAGCTGATCCTCCAACATCGTATTCTCTTCGTACCCGTGTTACGTAAAGCACATCTGCTGATCTCTTTAAGCCTGCCTGCACACAACCGATCGATTCTATTTTTAATCAGCTACTCAACCGAGGTTTGGCAAATTAATTCCACGTCCCACAGCCTGTCCTGAAATTGGGGGAAATACCTGTTGTAGCAGGTCGGGGTGGGTTATTTTAGAAACTTCCCCCCTTCTGTGCTGCCCTGCTGACTGTTCCTATCAGCCTCCGTATATCAAAGGACCTATCAGCTGTAGGAATGGACAACATCCCAGGAATGGACACGGGCACCATCACTTATCCAAATGCCAAGGGAGGAAGCAGGGGGAAAATAAATAGGCAATGTGTCAAGTTGGACTTAGTTTACATTGAGTTCATGCTTATTGACGCACTGCCAAATTTAAGGATTATATAGGAAATGTTGTCTTTGTGGAGATGATATCATTCAGACTGTCAGGGTAAAGGTGACAGAGAAAGAAAGACCGTGAAACTGTCTGCATTTGCATTTCAGAGCTTTAAATTGAAGAACCAATGAGGGACATTCATTCATTAAAATGGAAGCCAGCCTCGACCACCATCGACCACCTCACACGCTTGTTGACCAGGATTAAATCTACCGACTGGATCCATTAGCTGCAAGACAATCCTTTCTCAAATAATATATTTTCAGTGACATGCTTGCTTCTAACTAAAGGTTAATATACACCAAAGCATTACAAGATATAGCTAAATTAAAAAATATCTGCATGTCAAGTTGAGTTTCATCTACAGCATGACTTCAGCTATATTTAAAGAAAAATAAAAGACTTGGATGAACACTCAATCTTCTTCAGACAAGGAATATCGTCCGTTCCAAAGTGTACATATACTTTTATAGATATTTTTGAGAAAGGGGTTTGCACAGATATTTGTTTTTTGATATGAGAGGCATGGGTATTGTTTTGATTTCATGGCCGTTTACTGAAAACTAATGTGCAATGATGTTGTTCTTCTTAGGCCTACAGTAGATGTTACTAATGCAAACGTGTGTTACAGTCTTCAAGTTTTCCAGAGTTTGATATGCAGGTGGCATGCTTGTTTATACCAATTCTGTCTCATCTATTTTTGTCATTTCTCGTGTTTCAAAAGATACTTTTACAAGATGGAAATCACACATTATTACAAATGAAATATATTTAAAGAGAGAGTCAAATTAATTGCTAAACGTGTTATTTATGAAAATGTGCCATTTAATGTTTGTAAAAAAATAAACGAATGAATGAACTAAAACAAGCTATTGTCATGAGTCACCTCTTGTATCCAACCTTGACTTCTGACACAGAACAGATGTACATTACAGCTTGTATTTTCATCTTTTTTATTGCCTCTTAATGTCTTTCAGTTTGGTCCAGAATATTTTTGACAAGCAGTTACTGATGACTTATAAAGCCGGTTGATGAGTGTTACACTGTTCTTTGTGTCCCTTTACAGTCCTGTGTTGTCCTTCATAGGGGTCACATAATTCTCCTGAGGTGACCCTTCTTTATTTTTACATGTTGGACACACATGGACAGTGTGATCACCAGGTATTAACACAATACACAACCAATAATAGACTGTACATTATCTTGCATGTTTGTTACATTTTTTACCATTATCGTCTATTATCCAAATTCAGATATTTACTCAGTTACCAAACGAATCAAAGAAAGGTTCAGACATGAAAGATAGACCTTATTCATTGAAATGATATTGCTACATATGTCTCTTGACCTATGATAATATAAAAGTAATATTTCAGCAGGAAAACGGATTATATATAAGAGGTGAAGGAACCATGACATGGTGTCAACGGCCATCTCTTTTACATTGAGATCAATGTCATGGCACTAAGACATCAAGCCCTGAACACGAGACCCTGTGCTCTGATAGCTGGGACTCAAAGTTCCCCTCTTTGACACTAACAATGTCAGAGACAAGAGTCTCACTGTACAAACACAATGAATTCATTTTAGATCTGCACACGACCGGAGGTGTGTAAGAACCAGTGCTGAAGTTGCAAAGACGTAGATCTGTTATCAGACCTACTGTACAGCCATGACTCCGGACACCGTGGTCACATGGCTGATGGCCATACATTCCAGCTGGTTGCATCAGAAATATGTGTCGCAGCAGGCAACTAACTATAGTGCTTCTAGTTTTTACCCAGCCAGAGCCGTCTAAGCACGGAAAATTTTCCCTCTAAAAAGACAAATAATGAGGTTTCTCTCTGAGCTGTGATACAGATGTCTCAGTAAGAGGATGTGACTTTTATACTCGGTCATGTATTACAGTGAATTTTACTGATTGTACATTTTGCAGCCCTTGCATCCTCTCCACACGATGCCTTTTCTATGACAAACTCCCTGATGATAATCACATCTGCACTTAAATCACATGTCTTTTCTGTTTTTCAATCAAATCTATCTCAAATAAAGATTTTACAAGCTCTAAACTATCAGCATCATCTGTCTACAGTATCTTTATGTCTGAGACTGTGGCTTTTCCAATTAGATATTTAAATGTGAGTTTAACATCTTAGCCCCACCCCCATGCCTTTATTATCTATCTATATGTTCACTGACCCCTGACAGCAGGTGGAACATTTGGGATCTACTTTCATGCAACTGTGAGGTTCCTAAGTGCCCCTCCTCCCGCTGGTGCTGCCCGGCTGTAAAGCAGCGACTCATAGGCTGTATGGAAAAAGGGGGCCGATTGGTTTGAGAGGCTGTGACGCTGCAGCTAAATCCTATATATGTCCGGCAAGGAGATTGTCTATCAATGAAGTAGTAAAAGGAGGGAACGTCTGTGGCAGAAGAGAAGGAAAAGGTTTTTGGAAGAAGCCTTTTGTAGACTGTTTGCTTTGGGTGGGTTCCCTTCTTTTATTTACTGAATTCCAGAGGTGACCAAGACACAAACAAAGCCAAAATGAAGTTCATCATTGGCATTGGAGGGTAAGTCTTGTTTAATTGATCCACCTCCTTCTGTTTGTCTTGTGGTAAAACTTGTGTAACTCACATCTGTGTGGAATGAAATTCATCTTCCTTTCAGAGTGACCAACAGTGGGAAGACCACTTTGACAAATACACTACTAAAGACATTACCCAACTGTTGTGTGGTGCACCAGGATGACTTTTTCAAGGTAAGCTGAATTAAAGTCACCATTATTTTAAGCTTTAAGTCACTATTTGGTTAGTTTAAAGCTACAGTAACTATTTCATTGTGTTAATGTTGAGTTTTAGTAACTGTTATTTTTAGTATATTTCACTTGCTACGTTAAATTGACTCTTGAGTTCAGAAATGAACCGCCAGTCTGACCTGCAGATCACAGCAGCCTAGTAATACATCTGGCTGATTGTCTCCTGGACAGCCAATAAAAGGGCTGAGCGTCCCCACTTAAAGTCAGACTTCGTCCAATCATGTTGCAAATCCGGCAACCAACTTATTGCATAATTATTAACCTCATTTGGCTCAAAAGAAACAAGAAAATGTTTATCTCTATCACATCCATCTCTTCGTGTTGTACGTTAAAGGTTGATTTACCACCAACCACCGCTTGCTTTTAAAATCAGAGTCATTTACCACTTATAAGGCATATTATGCTGCTTTAGCAATACATCGAGGGTGTCGTTGAGGGCCGCACTACTACAAAAAAATCCAAATTTAGATTTCCAGTCTGGGACAGTTTGCTAAAAAAGCTAGCGTCCATCTGTAAAAACACTTGTGTTAAAGTGAGGCGACAGTGAGCGTTATGACCCTCCTGTATAGTTTAAAAAAACATTTAAATAATTTATTTAGAGAAAGAGTCTTGAGATATTGAAACCGATATTTGGCCAGCGCAACATTGAAAAAATATTTTTTAACCTCATCCAAAATTGTCAACGTGCACTACTTTTGGTGGAGACGAGTCCTTGACCTGTCCTGTCCAGGTGTGATCAGCTCCAACTGGTTACTAGGTTGCAGCAATGTTTTATTGGTGACTGTTATTTCAGAAACCCCATCAAATAGAAGTCGGGGAGGACGGCTTTAGACAGTGGGATGGTAAGAATGGATTTTGCGTAGGAAAACCATGCAGTAATGTACTTTTTCTTTCCTGCACATTTCTTTACGTTTGGTGACAAAATCAGTCCTAAACTGTGTGATATTCTATCATCTATTCTGTGAATGCTGTAAACATTCACTTACTGTAACTACTGTGTGTTGAAGCACATTAGTGAGGAGTGTCGGTTACATGTGTGGTGAAGCCTGCTCTTTTCTCTCCACCTCTGTATCAGTCATCAGCGCCATGGACATGGAGGCTATGGTCAACACTGTGAAAGGCTGGCAGGAGAACCCGGTCAAGTTTGCCCGCTCACACGGCGTCAGCCTGTCGCCTGCAGCCGAGGAATCCGACTCGGAGGAGGGGATCCATATTCTCATCGTGGAGGGGTTCCTCATCTACAACTACAAGTTAGTCATTTTTTTCACGCAAGCTCTCATGTGAAACCGACAGGCCTCTTAACTTTTCACTAATCTGAGCATCGGTTCCCCTCTGCAGGCCTCTAATTGACATCTATGACAAATGTTTCTACATTTCCATTCCTAATGAGGAGTGCAAAAGGAGGAGAAGGTAACAAGCTCTCGACCTAACACAGATTCCGCTGAAGTGTTGAACAAATTACAGGCTTATAAAGTGACTTGATTGGTTATGTTTTTGCAGTACAAGGACGTACACACTCCCTGACCCCCCTGGCCTGTTCGATGGCCACGTCTGGCCCATGTACTTGAAACACAGGAAAGAGATGGAGAACAACTGTGGCAGAATAGGTATGTAAACCGTGATCCACCCATCTGAAACTAAATATCCATGACCACTGATGTGCATACATTGCTTTGTGTCCCTATCCACACCCCTAATGTCAAAATACAAGCTAAATATCCCCCTCTCCTTTCAAAATAAAGCTTTAGCTGCTAACTGTTGGCATAAATTACGGTCATTCACCTCGGGTTTGTCTTTTTCCGGACAGAGTACCTTGACGGGATGACATCAAAAGAAGATATCTACAACAAAGTACATGAAAGTGTTCAGAATTCGCTGCTGAACAACTTATAGGTATATTTAAAATATTATCCTCCACATTTTCCCTGACAGTGTGACAGCGTCAGTGTGAGTAACTTCTCCCCCTCTCTCTTTCTCCACAGATAGACAGGGATAACAAGGATTTGTGTATAGACTTGTAAATATAACTTTGCCTAAATGTGTAACACCGGTTCTGCACTTCAAAGCCTAATTTGTAAATAGTTAATCCTGTAACTTATTAAGAACTAATGGCAGAAGTTCTGTGTTTTGTATAGTCCTGTGTAATTTTTTCTAAAAGATAAGCCACCTCTGTGTTTAACATCAGGGACAGACGTCCGCTCTGATCTTGTTGTATGTGAACAGATCAAATGCCCACTGGAGGATGGAATTGTGTCTCGCAACCAAATGAAATGACTGAATCTAATTTGTGTTTCCTGTTTTTCATTTCACACATACACAGACACACACACACACACACATGTAGCTCCCATATAGGTCCTGTTAAGAATCACAAACCTCACGTTTTACAACGTAAAAACGTTTGTACATTGGGGATGACTGATAACATCCTGCGGCTCTTGAATGAGACTCCTTATCATCCAGATTAAATTTAGAGCCTCAATAAAAGTGATCTGGTTTTCGTATTAAAGACAATAAATGAACTATTGCAGTTTACTGCAAGGAAAAAAAACATAAAACAGATCAAGGTAGTCTGATTTAATCTTCATTTTTAACTTAAGGACATATAAATATCAGCTATAACTGAAGAAAAACAAAAGGAACAGAAACTTTTTGGTATTCGGGAAGGTTACTGCAGCAAATTGGTGTGTTTTACTTGCCCATATAAGGCGCTTTATGTTTAATCCTCCACTTAAGTACCTGGAACTGCATTTTTAATGCTGCACCCATGGATATCTCTTCAGCTTTACATCTATGCTTTGATAATAAATATTATCATGATTATTGTTTTTGTATATGAAATGGGAAAATAATTAGTCGAAACCTTGGGCTAAGACCTTGGCCGCCTGCCATATAACTGCAACGTCCCTCGTTTGATTCCAGCTGTTGGTCCTTTGCTGCATGTCATATCCCTCTCTCCCTCCTGTCTGCCGCTACACTCTCATCTCTCCAATGAAGCATTAGGTGTAATAATGTCTACGCTAAGAGAAAAATGTACTGTCAACTGATGAGGAACACTTATCAGGACACACCTCCAAAGCACTAAATGCCTGCATGATATTACTGTAAACCTCCCACACAGGAAGGTCAGTCAGCCACAGAGTGGTTGAAGACTTGTTAAGCTGCCCTGCTGTGCTAACAACACATCCAGTAACATGAAATAATCTAAAAAGCCTTTGCAGTATAAAGGAGTCGACTTTATTGGTTTCATTGTCATCAACTTAATCAAGACTCTGAGGGAAAGTGCTTTGTCCATTTCACTGATAATTTACTACTTCTCTAAAAGATCAAAAGTCACCCACGTCGCTCTAGCCGCGGCCGACACTGTCTGAAATGGAAACATAGAGCAGTAAATGTTCCACTTTTATTGATATTTCAATATTTAAAAAAGCCAGTGAATTATACGGTCACCTTGAGGGTTGTCTGTTCTATCTGCAGCTGACTCCACAGCATGAACCATAAAACAAATGACTTGGGTCTGATTGGCAGTGATGACTGAGAATTCATAGTCCAAGCATATCTTAAATCTTTAGTGTCATATAGGCTTTTTCAGAATCTCCCCTCCTGATCATGCACACTGCACATTATTCTGGCAGGGCCACGGAGGGTGTGCTGGGGGGTGGGGGGTCTTGTGATACGTTTCTAGGAGTCTTTAGTTGCCAGTTGGCCCGTAGCTGATGGTATCTGGTCTGTCAGTTTATATTTAGACCAAGGGTCTGGGGTGTCAGGGGAAGATATTAAATGAGTGTACAGCCAATTGCCGATTGCCACACACCCACTCTACGCTCCGCCTGCCTTCTCTGACTCGGGGGCCAGTCCCCACACGCCACCACCGTGCCGGTAAGGTGAGAGCCTTGTGATCCCACGTCACCGGCCACTATGGCAACCCCCCGAAAGTTCAGCTGTGGCATCCATATTTAGGTGGAGAGGCAGAGACACGAGGGACACGAGGGACGAGCGGCTGTCACATGCTATACAGATCCCCTGTGTGGGACCCCTGAGGCATGTGAACAGTTGTGGTTATGGCAGTGAAGTAATGACAGGAATATTTACGGCTGTGACTAAACATATGTGAACAACTGAAGTCTCCCTAGCATTTACAAGCTGTATATATACACATTTTATAAATGGTTTAATATACCCTATAATGTTGCTGTAAGCAGGTATAAGGGCAATTTAACTGCTTATTAATGTAATGTATTTGTCTTCAATAGGACGTATCTTATACAGTGTAGTTCTTACTGTATTGTCAATCATAATCTCTTTATACAGCATCCTCCAATTAATGGGTGCCCATAGGTCATATCCTTTTGTTTATAGAGCACTATTCAGACACAAGGCGATTTAAAGTGCTTTATAGAAATACTGTATATTAAACACAAAGACTTGAAGAAAACATTAAAAAAGTGTAATAAGTAATGAGATTTTAAAATCTAGCCTTCGACACACAGGACGCAGTGGTCAAGGACCACAGCAACATGCTCACGGTCTTGGTGTTCATGAGGCATTCCAGACGAGCTGCAACTGTCTGATAGATTTTATACTAAGACCAAGATAAATAAATGAATAAACACTTATATCTGCTTACAGCTACATTAAAGTGTGTTATAAAGCATGTATTAAATTATGATATACTACTTTCAAATGCTAACTACAAATAGAACAGGTTGGCCCTGTGTTTATCATTGATTTCGCCTTTAAGGGTATTAAAGGTTTTATAGAGATCACCAGGAAACTTCCATCGTTGATTACTTACATTAACGCAATGTTTTTTTTCTATTACGAGTTTAATAAAATGTTATGTTTAAATATGAAAATGAGGCATTATTTTATACTCACTTTTGGTGAATTTTTAAGAGATCTACAGATGCAGACAAACAAAGTAGTAAAATAAACACCTAAATGTTTATTTTTTTAAGTTATCTTTCCACTAGTCTGAATGAAGACATGAATGAGTTGACCAGTGCATGAAACAATGCTATTGCATAGTGTCTCCGCTTAAAAGGTCAAAAAGTGGGTGATTAGGTAACTGGCACTCCATCCTGATTGGTTTGCAATGACATAAAACACATAATAGAGAAATAAATGGCATGTTATGCTAACTCATTCAAGTGTTAAAACAGAAGGAGGAGTAGTCACACACAGTAAAACTTAAAGCCCTTAACATCAGAAGGTATTGACATTTAAGTTTGGGTTAAGGGTCCACTGACTAGACAGTTTTTAATAGCTCACATATTATGCGCCTTCAACATTAATTTGTCACGTGTAGATGAACCAAAACGTGAAGATAGATACAGCAGCATGATGCTCAAACCTGAAATGTGAGGAGAGCTGGCCGCGCTGATTTTGGCAAAGATTAATCAATGATAAGCAACACATGTCACAAGAAACCTGATGATCTGCAGTCGTCAAATAACATATAATTCATCATTTATTAGACACTTCTATTTCAACGCAGGTTAGAAAAAAAAGTCCATTTTATTTAAGAGTTCACACTTGTTGCTTTCAGGTAGAACTAAATGTCCACATAATGGGACGACAGATTTGTTTAATTATTTTCATTTTCTTCACACAATTCTTTTAGCATCTCACCTGCATTTTCTCCCCATGATCTGTGGTAAACCCTCTGGATTTATCATATAGTTGTAAACTCCTCAGACTGGCAGTGTGAGGCCTCAGGGGAAGACAACAGATGTATTCCTTCTTGTGGTAAAACCATTTTAAGACCATCATCGTCGTTAAATCTCACAAGAAGCAAAGCTGTGAGCAGCCCTGGATACCTAGATTCATGGGATAAGATATATTCAAAGTGTAAAAGAATTAGTCTTTCACTCGGGGAAAGATCTGCTGCTGCTGCTGCTGCTGCTGCTGAAGGTGTACCATGAAAACAACCAGACACTTTATTTTATGTACAAGCACTCCTAGTTTACAGTAAAGAATATTTTTATAACTTTTGTGGCAACATTTGTTGTGATTTGTTTACTTCCAGGTCAGACACACAAGAAAGACTGAATTCAGTGTTAATACTTACTGGCTAAATTTTGTGGGTTACATGTCCTGCTGAGGAAGTCTTGTGCCAAACCAGTGCCGAGGATCTGTGGATCTTATAAATCTGGACTGCAGTAGAGGGCAGGGCGGGGCGGGGCTGGACTTTGGAGCAGGGGGAAGGTTTCTTTGTCTAAGAATAGAAAAGCATGCATGCTCACCACCCTGATGCCCTATTTGGCTGAGGAAACACACACCACAGCTCTTCATGTGAGAGGTGACATAAACTGAGCTCTGCCTCACTCAGTGTGTGTATTGTGACCCATATCACACGACCTATGTTCCCTACCTAATAACAAGATGAGGCTATAATAGTCTTTATGTAAAAGCCACATTGAGCAATGTGGTTGAATAGGCAACATCAGTGAGTTTAATAATTGTACATATGCAGCCCCCTTTTAATACATCCATTGCCACGTCTATACAAATACCTAAATCAACGAGTAAACACATACAATAAAACTAACTTTATATTTGTGTTGCTGATCTCCTTTCAGTGTGAATGACTGCTTGAAACAACTTTTATTAAATGCAATCAGCTTGTCTGAAATCCTCAGTAACCAGCCGTTGAATGTAACTGAGTACTTTTACTCAAGTACTGTACTTAGATACAATTTTGGAGTTACTTGTGCTCAATTTTATTCTCCAAACATTGTACTCTTTATTCCAAGATATTTACTTGACAGTTTTAGTAGTTACCTTACAGATTAACATTGTGAATAGAAGACATAAAAGCCATTCTGCATCATGGGTACTTCTACTTCTGTTACATTAAGTATTTTTTTAATCTAATGTACTTCTACTTTAGTACGATTTTAAATGCATGACTTTTTCTTGTAACATAGTATTTATTGTTGAATCGCTACTTTTAGGCAAGCCAAGTTTATTTGTATAGCACATTTCAACAACGAGGCAATTCAAAGTGCTTCACATAAAACCATTAAAAGCATCAAAACATAAGGCAAAAGATGTTTTACTGAAGCAAAACATCTGAATACTTCGTCCTCCAAATTAAAGAGATTAATAAATATTAAAGGATGTTAATGATACATTTTCAATTTGTAAGTTAAACTTCTTTTGCATGTTTAAGGAAATAATGTTGCACATATTGTTTATTTTAAAGTCTATGAATATATAATTTAGTCAAAACAATAATTAAATTGACTATATAGTTTTGGACTGTTTGCAAAACACAAATCCCATTCAGGACCGACATGATCAATGATAAAAGCGTTTTGTTTTATGGACCTGGACTCTCATGATGATACTGGATGATAAAAAAAAGCTCCTTTAGAGCAATAGTGCCTGCAGGATGGTGACACGGATGCATCCTGCCGCCGTGTGGTGGAGGTTTAGTCCTGCACGAGGCCATGAAGCCATGTGGCTCCAACGCTGTTCTATAATGTTGGTATATTCAAATAGACCTGAGACATGTTTATTAATGTTGATAAACTAACCATGTGAGGCACGTCAATGACAAAATGATTATTGACTATATTGATTATTTAAGTTTTTTAATTGAATTTAAATGCAACAATATTCACTTAAGAGTGTTGTTCATATTTTCAGTGGAAAAACTGATGTGCAGGTGAAATCAAAACCAGATAATCGTTGTTTTTTCCTCTACAGGGCGGTTGGTTCTTCCTAACAATGTCTAGATTGAACGGTAACATTGAGATGAATTCAGTTAACACCCGTGCGTAAAGTTTACTAAGCAAGCGTCCTTGTGTAAGTCTTGTGTAACACGGCGAGGCATGGGTTAAATATTCTTGCTAGGGAGTTTGACTTTGCGTAATCAAATTGAATTCGATAAACGAGCAGAAAAAAAGTCTCCAGTCCTCTCCTCTCCACTTGTCAGTCCTCTTGAGAACTGATATGTTGATCTGCGCAGAAGCTGGAACTGAGAGCGCACTCCTGCTTTTCATCCATTTTCCACAAAGCAAAGTCTGTGCACGCAATTCATGTCATAATCGAATTATTCATTGATTTAAAGGCGGGAATTTTTTTTTCTCTTTTATTGCCATGGCAAAATTGTCACTTTTATTTTTGTTCTTTTTCCATGGACAACTTCCCCCCATCTTTGGGCAGCAGCAGCGCGCAGCTGGCCCCTGGCGTCACCGGATTCAGTGGGAGAACAACGGGCAGGTTTATAATTTAATCAGCACTGGGTCAGAGTACACTGCTCCGGTTCAGTCCCGAAGCCAGACGAGGCTGTATGTTGCCGGCAGGAGGGACAGCAGCAGGAGCCATATGCCGGGAGCGCACAGAGGAGCAACGCTTGTACGACCCGTGTCGGCTGAGTCCAGACAGTTCAGGACTGATCACAGTGCAGAGCCAAGATCTATAGCGTTAGTACGCGATGTTAGACATCATGTGCCTTTTAATGGTCGTGCGTCAGGGGCCAGACAGCAGCCTGATCGCCCTCACGGAGCAGCAGCTGCAGGTTATCGAGGCGCTCGTCGCACTGAACACACCATCACCATCAACGGCTCTTCACCGGGGAGGTTGACAGATTTTGCAGGCAGGAGACGAGGTAACAGTTTGAGTGCAACTGCACTGCACACCAGAGGAGGAGAACCAGGACCTGGCGCGCAGTACCAACTTTTACGCGCGGTGCCAGATGCGATGTCTGTCTCCAGGCAACCCGCGCAGACGGATCAATCCATCTCAGCATATCCCACAACTCTGGAAAGGGAATCTGAGGCTCCTGCTCTATCCCCTGCAGTAAGTGAGGATGATTCAAAAGAGGCAAACGGTAATGGAGAGGACATGGTTAATGACGACCCTCGAAACCCGTTAAAAAATCACAGGAATTCGGTTTTCTACAACTCGTATCCCACAAGAGGTAGATCAGGGGCCCTCACGCGCCGTCCAGCTGGCACAGGGTATGGAACAAGATATTTCCAAAATGGTAAGTTAAGCGTCCTAATCACATGGAATGAGTTTAGCCTTCTTAATTTGCATGGATTTAAATATTCTTAGAATATAAATTACGTTTTAAATCAGCTCATGTCTCACTCAGAGGGAAAAATGGAAAAAAATCTTATTTGGGATTTGATCCCAGACTGAATTTACTCAGGAATTTAAAACACTTTGATTTATGCCAACAAACACTCTCATTTTCAGCCTGGACACGGTCTATTGTCAGTGAATTGTTCTCAGCATGAATAAACCGTCAAAGTTAAGATCTCAGAATGACAAAAACAACTTGGATTGTTCCTTTAATCTTCTTTGCCAGGACTTCCAGACCTCATCCCAGACCCATATGCCATCCAAGCAGGTGCTTATATCCAACGCATGCAGATGTTTGCGCTCCGCTGTGCCGCTGAGGAGAACTGTCTAGCCAGGTAATCTGTGGTGCCAAAAGTGATTCACTTCATCTGTACGTAGACACTGAAGCAGACACACACACACACCTACCCACACTCAACACACAGGTATTTCCTTTGTTTTTACTGCTCATTGAAGGTTGATTTGACATGTTTATAGACCACTTTTGGTTGTTTGAGGATAACTTTCTATTTCATCTGTATAACTTTTCAATGTGGCGGCACAACTGCTCTCATCATAGTGCTATGTTATTAGTGATTCTCCAACATGATGTCCTGCCAAGATGTAAATGTTCTGGGTTGATTTTCCCAAAAGCATTAAGCACAATGGAACAAACCCTTTGCTCCCAACACAACTAGCCCCCGGGAGTTCAGCCAGTAGTACTTTCCAGCGCAGCTTATGCCCGTCTCTCCTCTGATCCATCCAAGGTCGGCTTATAGACCTGCCGTGAAAGACATCGACTTCAGAGTCCTCCTGCGGTTCCCCCAGAAAGTGAAGAACCAAGGCACCACTGACTTCCTTCCTGTCAAGCCGAGATATCAGTGGGATTGGCACAACTGTCACCAGTGAGTTCACTCAGAATAAAAGTGAAATGACTTTACATCACTTAAATACTATGATTCACACAGCTCCAATCAGCTCTAATAAAAAACTCCACACCCTCAAAATCCACTTAAGAACTTAACATTGTGGGTTTAATAAAAGCCACAAATAATAAGCTCTTATTCTTCTCTGTTCGACCCCCTCAGACACTTCCACAGCATGGAGGCCTTCAGTAACTACGACCTGCTGGACATCGTCACTGAACGTAAAGTTGCAGAGGGACACAAGGCCAGTTTTTGCCTGGAGGACACGGGCTGTGATCCCGGATTCAGGCGACGCTACGCCTGTACGTCTCATACACAGGTACATATACCCTCATACAGTAAAGTAAATGTTGTTTAACCTTTAACTAATCAGGTGATCTAACTGAGATTAAGACGTCTTTTGCAAGAGACACCTGATGAAATCAGGAACGAGTAATCAGAAACAATCAAAGGCATCAGTAAATATGAACAAAGTTAAAAGACACGTTATACGGCTGTAATGTATGGTACAAAGTACTGGAAATCATCCATGTAACAGTCCTGGATAGAAGTCTCATGAAAACTAGACATTTTAGTTACTCAGCAGCTCATAAAATACATTACGAGCAGAATGTTGAACGCACAAATTCACCAGACACCAGGCAACCTTCTTAACGACTTATGAGCTGAGAAAAAAACCCAACAGAAACAATCATGCCTCATAAACCTGCACTTCACATTTTATTTGGTTTGAATTGAATTGAATGAAAGAGTCATGTCTTGGTCAGAATAAATCACATCCAGACTGGAGTTAGTCAATCTTGAGGTCTGGTCTGGTGAACAGTAGCCCAAAATTTGAGAAGAGATGTAATATACTGAAGCAACTTTAGTAGGAGACCTTTATGACGTAGTGCGTGTTCAGTTCAAACTGCAGATAGACAACAACTTATCAACAAAGATAGCGGATTTATGAGGAACAGGTATTTTCTAAAACAGTCAAAATCTAAATCTTTGCAGCAGAGGTCTTGGACCTGGTTTTTAGTCTCTGGTTTGGGTCAAGATCACTGAATCCTACACGTTTTAGTGTAACAAGATAACCCTCCCTGTTAAGTTAACGTCCCCTACTTTCAAAACTCCACACCTCTAGTTTTAGTTTTAGAGATGTAGATCAACATCTCCCCTTTTCGATGTGTAGTTCAAAGATGTACATTTTTTTATTTCATTTTATTTAGTCAAACAAAACATAGTGTAAATAGCAGGGCTATCCACTTCTGGAAAAATAATTATTTACTCCAGTATATGCCAAATAATGGAAAAAAACTTCCTGAGAAATGGGAATATGTATTATATGTGTTGTCTGGGCTCTGTGATTCTGGCTTTGCACTGCTTGGCGCTGGTTTCTTGTAAAAGCTTCGCTTCCAGAGAACTGTTTGTATAACTAAAACTCAAATGTGCTTCATTTGCAGCGCTTGTAGGAAAAAAGTAGTCAAAGTCGTCTGAAGAGTCAAAGCTTCAAACCACACTGAGGCTTGTTTGGGTTGTGTTTTCAGGGACTGAGTCCAGGATGCCATGACATCTACGCTGCAAACATCGACTGTCAGTGGATCGACATCACTGACGTACCTCCAGGAAACTACATCCTGAAGGTAACACGTGTTAAAATTGACTTTACAACAACTGTTACGTCTCTCAACATCTCAACTAACCTGCCTGCAGAGCTCAAACTGTTTTTATACATTTCAGGTTACTGTCAATCCCAATTTCCACGTCTTGGAGTCAGACTTCACCAACAACATAGTGAGATGTGATATCATATACACAGGAACTTATGTTCAGACACGCAACTGTCGAGTATCAAGGTACCGTACGAGTGTTTCTGTTGAACGAATACATTAAAAAAAAAGGCAAAACATTGTGATGACTATTGAGAGATTCTGTATCAAGTCTTGTGTGTTCTCAATTTGGATGCCTGTATTTTGATATCTCTCTTTCTTCCCTTTTTCAGGGGTTGAAAATGTTGTAGCAAACCTCTCTCCCTGTGCTGCAACATCGACTCTATGACTCACAAAACGTGCAATGGGTAAAGTGCTTATTGTAACTGTGTGCTACATTCCTGCTATAGTCTAGTGTTGCATGTACTGGAAATAAATTCAAATGTTTACACATAATTTGTACATTAAACTAGTGAGAGCCTCACATTTACTTGATTATGTATTTCTACATATGTGCCTCAAGTCATAACAAAAAAGATATCTTCTCTTTTGACCTTAACAAATACAAGTACTGTGTTCATATACATCTTGAATGCTGGTTATTGCTTGAAATGTGTTGTTGCCTCATGTTGTCTTTGTCTTGTTTTTCTGCTTTTTTGTTTAAAGGAAAAGATATTCTTTATTTTTGTTTTTTTATCGTCAACAAATCTTATGAAAGTATCAAAGTCACCTCAGCTAGCTGACGGTCCGAGGAATGAGGTAGTCTGGGTCAAGCATCGACAGAAAGGGGGTAGGAAGTGGGTGATTCACCAGGTCTTAGTATCACAAGATTTCAGAAGATTCTGAGCGCGACTTGATAGGACACAACAACAAACAGACCGGATCAAGCAAAAGGTAAAGAAAAACGTCCGTCTCTCAATACTTTCTGACTCCTACAGTCGATGTTTTCAAGTCCATTATTTCAAGAGAGAAATCTGCGTAAAACAGGTAAAACACATTTTCATTTTATAAAATTTCCAAAAACAGCTGGGCACTGTAGTTTTTTGCAAATGTTACTATAATGGGAGCATTTGTTAGGGATTATTTCCGGCTGCGGATTTGGATGTGAAAGTGAGTATTTACGGTTGCAGGATGCTGTATGTGTTTGTACTGTAGGACCAGTTCACTGCTGCTTTTGGTCATCTTATGTGTTGACAATATGAAAAATGCAGAATATCAGTTATTCTTCAACTACTTTGTGGTCACTTCAGCAAATTGCAAATATCTCGTTTTATGTTAAATAGTAAGGGTAGTATGAAGAATGTGTGCTTTGTGTATAACTGAGTAATTGAAAAATGGGGGAAACTGTTTTGTAAAACTGTTAATATTGCTAAAACATTGTTGAAAACCGTATTATATTCTGTTGGCATGTTGGATTTAATGCAATAAAGATGGGGAAGAGAGGAGTTTGTTATTAAACAATTCTTCCCTTTTCTTTTGAATAATAACCACAGGCATCCGTTTAATCTTCAAAGATGCCACAATATCAAAGTTGTTAATCTATTGATCTCTTAAGATTTGAATTTCTGGATTTTAGCTGCATGTCCATGTTTTATCATGAAATGTCAAGATCCGTTATAGTTATAGTTTTTTAATAGTTTTGAATCCAGAATTGTGGACAAAAGCATCTTGTTCATAGAAAGTATCACAGCCTGTTGAATGGTGGGCTTTACTTCGAGTGATGCGTGCAGATCGCGGCCTCAGAGATAAACAGGCCTGCAAGAAGCTGGCGGCATGTTTGCTGACAAGCCTCTGTGAAGACATAAGCCGCAGGATCTTATATAGCCATGCCATTTACTACGACACAGCCGGAGCACCATGAATGGAGGCCTTTTCTCACTCTCGTCCTCTGTGCATGTAAAAAGAAGAAGTGTCTCTCCCAGCTCCTTCCTGGCCCCTAAATTTATCACATCATTCACATCCATTGGGGATTGTCTAAGGCGACAGCACTGGGATATTTTGTCTGAGTGGGAGGATTAACACAACCCGTCAGAGAATATCTCAAGCAATTCACTCAAAGATGTTTTTACCAAGGACAAATGTGTTTAAGCAGCAAGCACTAGACTGTTTCAAACAGCAAAATAACGACAGGAGGAGCACTTTACAGATTGTATTATCTCTCGAGGTGGAGGTGCTTCATCTTATTCACAGATGTTTTCACCTCCAACAAATCACTCTCCTTATTTATCATGAAGCAGTTTCGAATGACGTACTGGAAAACATACAGGCTCCAGACAATGTATGCCTTGTTAAATGCACAGATGTTGGGTATTTACAAGGAAACAGGGCTCAGTCTCAGTTTAAAAAAGCAGCGTAGCGGGAAGATCAAGCGCAATTGAAATTGTTTATGTTGGAAGTCACCAAGGTGCTTCCCTGCCAGAGTAGATTGTCTATGTTATTGAAAGTGTCTGGAAAATCCCCCGATTCCCATTGAGTCCACTGCCTTCTTCTCTGTCTGTGAATTTTCAGGAGAATATTTACAGACAGTGACTATTTCAGCAAAAACATGCTGCAGCAGAGGGTTAAATCAGTCTGATCTGAACATAGGTGACATCATTCAGAGTCTACAGCTTTTTACCATGTTCACAAATTAGTTTAGCATGTTAGAATGCTAATATGTGCTAATTACCACTCAACACCAAGAACAACTGACGGAAATATAATTTTTCTTTTATTGCAGGTATTTGGTCACAGATCAATTGATCAAGTATTGGACACATTTTGACCTGATGATAGTGCTGTACCAGATTTCATGGCAATCCATACAATCCTTGTCAAGACATTTTACTCAAAAATCTAAATGTCAACCTCGTGGTGACGCTAGAAGAAAAGTAAGTGTATCAATAAAGTGATTAGGTTTCATCCTCTGGGGACCATGAATGTCCGTACAAAATGCCATGGAAATCCATCCATTAGTTATTGAGATATTCCTTTCTCGACCAAAGTGGTGGACAGACAGACATTTCCTTGTTTGTTTCACCATTTGGCGTTAATCTTCAGATTTTTTACATACTTTTCACTCTCTTGACTTTTGTTTTTTTTACTCACTTATAAGTCAGAACAAGATTGCCATCCGCAGAGCCAATACAAATTGAAGGGATGTTGACTTTAAGCTGTTCTAACAAGCCGATCAGGTGATGAGTGTTTGGCTGACTGTGTTCCTCAGAACTCAGCTGGTCTCCTCCTTTTTGGACCAGCGTGTCATTTTAAACATGTCATGCTGTAGAGAAGACAGAAACTGTTTGCTCAGCTGTGGGGCTTCGCACCAACATCTGGACGTAGTCTCTCGTTAGCCTAACACAAGCACAGAACAGCCTTTGCAAAGACCGAAAAGAAAAAGGCAGGCTGGCACATCTCATCTGGCCTCAACAAACACAATCCAGCGTACAGGTAGGTAAGGTGAGGAGGGGATGAGTTTTGCCATCTGCCTGCAGCCTACACTGAACATACTGTGGCAGGGAGAGACATTTTCCGGATGCATCTGCACGTAGGTGGACAGTGTTTGGAGAGGTTACTAAGGCCAGGGTTTGGTATTTCCAGGTCATATTTCAACAAAGCGGGGCCACGTGAGAGCTGGCGGGGACGTAGCAGAGGAACCTGCTCAGCCTAAAAAGAGAGTCTTGACAGGTTGGTTTAGGCACAGAGCAGAGAAATTCCTTTGCAGTTCTGTCATCCCGTTGAGATTAAGAACAGTGCTGAGGTCAGCCGTAGACCAGCGAGGGCATGTAGGGCATACATACTGGGCTACTTCCTCACCCGGTGGGGGGGGGGGGGTCACTTACACAACCAGCAGACGCAGTGTTGTAAATTTAGAGAGAATAAAAGACGACATTGTGGGCTGCAACAGAACACACAGGAGTCATCTTCGAGTGGGACTGATGATGAATTGTGTTTCTCTTTCAAGCTGGGTGGTATAGTTACTTGGGTGGTATTTGGAGGGATGGCTCAAAGGATTTGCTTTTCTTTAATTGTTGATCCACTGTACGGTCGGCCTGTAAACTCTTCTAACACTTGCATTAATCTGTTTTGTTCACTTAAAATGCCTGAAGGAAGCTCCCGGACATAATAGAAATGGCAAAACTGATGTGATTGTGAGCTTCTCATTTTCTGGCATTATGAGATAAAGAGTTTTATAAAAAGGAATCCCTTGTTTGATTTTCTTTTTTAAAATAGTTTTTGTTGTTTTGTCGACTACAGAAAGAAAACTTCAAAATGTTGTTATTTCATTATTTCTACAAAAGTTTTTCTGTCCTTTTTTGTTGTAGAGCACTTTCTAACTTTGGTTTTAAATATTACTGTATGTATTATGAGACAAAGACAATGTGTCACAGCCTCCTAATATTCATCCTGCTCCCTCCTGCCCTGCAATAACCCCCTTCCCGCCTTTTCCATCACCTGACCTTCTCTGCCCACACACTCACCCGCTTCCCATTTGCCTAATCAGTCTTGCAGTATCAACACCGGCCTCATTCCCTCATACCCATCAGTGTTGCATTTGCTTTCCAGCGATCTGTATCTGAACATGAACCTGCACCTGATTCTGTTCCTTGTTACCTGCTACCTGTTCCTGGATTTTGACCCGCTGCCTGCTTCTGGCCTGCTCACAACCTGTTCCCCCTTTGGGTTTGTTTGACTGGTCGGACTGCCTTCCTGTTGTCAACCTGTAAGCCTGTTTTTGACCTTTTGCTTCAGCATATTTCCCTTAATTCTGGCCGTGACACATAAGTAGTATCAAAACATAAATAAGTATTAAACTGTACCAATGCAGGATTCTTGAGGTAATTAGTAAATCGGCTGCTTTTTTTTTTTCTTGCCTTAAATAAACACAATGTAAAGACACATTTTTGAAGCATCCCCTCAATTAGTTTTTAGCTGTGACCAGCAGTCGGCCGATCAGACCACAACATTTTCCCCACCCTCTGACAGCCACAGTTTTCCCCCTCGGAGCCTGAAATTGGGCATGTAAGTCAAGTGTGTGTTTGTGTTCATGTTTCAGAGCATCCATTTGACACATCATAGCAGGGCAAACAGGCGTAATTGATCAAATGAATTATGGTAAAGTCCTATTTAGTGTGAAAACAATCATTTCAGTGAGCCAGCATGCACAATACCAAGGCCCTAACCCACCTTAATGGAACAGGGTCATAATTTACCATTTACCCTGCAATGCCTTGTAAAATGGCTACCGTGAAAAGGACTATTTGGCAAAAAGGGATACAGTGAGAGTGATTTATAAGACACGTGTCTTTTAAATGGATCCACGTGTGTGTGTGTGTGTGTGTGTGTGCGCGTGTGTGTGTGTGTGTGTGCACACACATGTGTGCAAGCATGCGTGTATATGGTGGTAGCTATGGCAAATTTGCACTTGTTTGTTCAGGAAACATTTCAAAATTTAGATAGTAATTTAACATCTCCTGAAAAACTTGTTTCTGCTGATCTCTGAACTTCTCATCTTGCTGCAGTTAAGGACCGTGACATCACTGTTTGGTGTGGTTACCTGGGCAACAGATCACATTTTTGACCAAAACATGCTTTTCCAACTTGCGTTAAGTTGCCCTTTAAAAATCCAAAAAATGTTTGCCATTGCTTTATGGTGGACAAATGTAATTTCAGATGTCGTTTCCAGCTTATCTATATGGCTTTTTTGTGTTGTATAGGTCAACATACACATCAACATATATACCAACATACACACCGATACCGATGTACCAACTTAACTAAATATGTCACCGAAATCAAATTTTGATTAGAACTAAACATAACCTTAAAGCTGCTACTCTTCCGGCCTGGCTCAGTGTTTTAGGAGGCTGGTTGGATCCATTAGCACCAGCTGTTTTTCAGGATCGGGCCTCTCAGACAACAGTTGTTCAGCCTGTCGTGGTTTTCCATCCAGAATTTAAACAGACCAGGAAACAATACTCCTCTGGACAGGAATCGAACCCTCGTGGTATTAACAGCATCCTACTCGTGTATTATTTTTGGGTGGATGAGACCAACGGAAGGTGGCTATACTAAAATTTGTTGTTGTTCTTGGTCTGAATCTCTGTCTGAAATTTCTCAGTCACTCCAGTATTTACAAAGGCGGCACGGCCAGCGGCTCAGCCAGCGTGCCTTCAGTCTGACAAGATTCATAGACGGGGCATGTGGAAAGGCTCAGCCTTGGACAGCAGGCCAAGACATGGCCTTTCTCAAAGTCTGTTAGGCTTTAGGTGCAGCAGACATCTGAGATCCATGCCTGCAGACCTTAAAGTGATCGCTCTGAGGATTGATGGTTGTTTTGCGATTCTAACTTGGTATTCATACAGCGTTCTGAACAAGACTATTTGTTTTAAAAGTTAGGCTTCGGTCTAAAGATCTTTTTAGAGGCCATATTTGTTTCTCACTGCCAAAACAGACCTCTCCAATAGCAGGCAGATTGATGTTGTGTCTGGAATATGGAAAATATTCTGACACAGTTCATGACTAAACTATAAAATATTCAGCCTTTGCTCCCTCGAGAAAACACATAATTTAGGAGATATAATGCTGGCCTGATGATTCTTCTCGAGTCCAGTAATTCAATTAGCAAACATTACAAACATTCCCTGGTTGAAGCTTCTCAAATGACAGGATGTACTGTAAAACACTGAGGTCAAGAGTCCAAATCTCACAAAACAAATGTTGACCACCCACCACAAAAAGTCCAATATTCTCTCTTTCCACATTTTCTACATCAATTGAACTGTTAATATATATTTATACATAAAGATGGGGATACATTAGGCAGGCATTTCTCCGCAACACTTTTTCACTTTCATTTAAATTAAATTAAACATAAAAGATAAAACTGTAACATGCTTTTCAAAAATATACAAATTCTGAAGATGTTGATTTTAAAAAATACAGCACAATACAGTTACAATTATGAATGAAATATAATATTATGCCTTCCAAAATTATGGTTAAAAATGACTTTGATATTACTGGTCCATGCGTCATGCAAATGACGAGACTTGTGCTTATGTCTATGAACTTTAAGTAGTAGATCTGTCACTGTTTTCATAAACTGCATACTGTGCTCAACAGTGGGGGGCAGCGTCCTCGGTGGCCTATGGCCCCAATTTGGGGGTTTTCTCTGGGAAATTGATATTCAAATTTTCACTATTTCCACACATAATACTCTCTAAACTCACAAGTAATGAAAGGATTAATTGATAACTAAAACTATCCTTGCAGCCCCAGTCTGTACTATTATGAAATTATATAATGGCTCAGGGTGTCAAGAAAAAAATCATTAATCTTGCATGATGCTCTCAACAAGTAATACAGGCCTCTGGCACTTACCTCACCCATCTATCTAACCTTCAAGGGGATTATTGACTCTTTACAATCGCCCCTCTCATTTGCCATTATAACACAATAACTCTTAACTGCAATAGGCTGCAGACACAGATGGTGAGTGACAAAGTGGTCAGGACAGTTAACAGTTTGCACGCGTCGTCCTCCATCTGTCACCATAGCTCTCTCGTCAGCATTACACACAATTAAAGAGACAGAAAGTGAGCGATGTTTTGTGATGTGGATGGATTATACTGGTTGTCAGAGGGGAAGTGGTGTCCTCTGATAGCAGGCAGGAGCTTGTGTGAGCAGAGTGGGGAAAATCTCAGACAAGATTTAAACAAATAGAGACACAGACGCTGGCTGGCCCAGGCTGGGCCGGGCCAGCCCTGACAGAATAAGGCCATGAGCGATCACACACTGCCATCTCCAGATCAGCCCGAGAAGTATTTCCACAACTTCCACAACCATTTGGGATTCTTCTATCAGACTCAGTGAATGCATGAATAATTTCCCAGAGTCGGGGGCAATGAAATGCTGGCGTTTAATTCTTTTTTATTTCATCTTGAAATGTGGGACATTCAGCGGTCGATGCACATCTCTTGGAGTTCTCTAATTGAGCCGTCAGATTGTGTGAAAGAGGGAAGAAGAATCTATTGTATTGCAATTTTATCTCAGCTCTGCCACTCCAACTTTGCAGTCTTCTTGGCTGATTATTCTTCTTACATACTGTACTTTGACAACCATGTAGCAGTGAGAAAAACTGTCCAAACTCTTTATTTGTAAAACGTCTGTACAATAGTTTTGATGACATAAATCTTGATATCGCTTACATTAGGGTAGGTAGCATCCAGACTGGTGTGAGCTGCCTGAAAATATATTTCTTCGCAATAAAAAATAGCCTAGTATAAAATAAATTAACACTGTCATAGAAATATACCTTTTATCTTTCTATTGGTGGTTGTTGAGTAGTAGTTCGCTTTATCCTCCTCATTATATGCCGCTACCTCACATGCAAAAGCATGAGTTCTCCGAGAGGTTTGACTGCCACTCCTCCATGCTTCTGTGCTTGCATGACATACAGCCGCAGGTCGACTCTTGGGGGG